CCTCTTATGTTCAGCCCACGGGCGTGCCACAGGTTACATATATTTTTAGTTTTTTATTTATTTTTTCAGCCCAATTTCTGTCCCTAGCTTTATCACTATCTTTCCCTATCCAAACACCCAGTATTTTTCTCTCTTCAGTTACAACTATAAAACCCCATTTGTTTGTGTCAATTCTATTTTCTGAGAACACCATAATTTCAGATTTAGAATGCGAGTTCATAGTTTTTGATATTATACATCGTCCTTTCTAAAAACTAACTATTTTTTAAGAAGATGTTAATGTCATCCGCATATTGAATTATTTTAACTTCCTTGTTTCCTACTGTTTTGATTCCTTCAATGCTAGCATCATTTACCACACTTAATGCCAGAGGCTCTGCCACCAAGCTGTACAGCATAGCAGACAGAGGGCACCCTTGCCTAATCGACCTCTCTAATTCTACCTGTTCAGTGAAATTCCCATTTATTTTAATTTTGCTTTTTGCTTGTTTGTATAATAGTTTTATCCAATTTATGTATTTTTCCCCAAACCCATATTTATATAATAATAGTTATATATTTATATAACTCCCACAAAAAACTATGCTCCACCCGATCAAAAGCCTTCTCCAAATCAATCCCCAACAAACACCCACCCTCTTTGGTCATTGTATTTACCAGATTTTTTATTGCTATGATATTATCATTAATATCCCTTTCCGGGATACTGTAGGACTGTGTGTCCGACACAATGGTTGCAATGACCTCCTTTAGTCTACCGGCCAGGACCTTAGCCATAATTTTATAGTCTGTGTTTAAAAGACTGATAGGCCTGTAGTATTCCAATTTATCCCTCGTCCCTTTGTTTTTAAAGATTAAAGTGATCACCCCTTCAGAAAACTGCTCAGAGACTGCATTCTTCTGGGCCATATCCTGAAACACATTCAGCAGGATAGGAGAGAGTAGCTCAGGAAAACCACCAAAGAACTCTGCTGTAAGTCCATCAGAGCCCGGGCTTTTACTGCTCTTAAAACGTTTTATCGCCACCACAATCTCCTGATTGGTGATTGGGAGATCACAAAATTGTTTATCTGCACTACTTAATTGATTTTTAATTTGGCTAGTCATAAGCTCCATCTGTTTTTTATTAGGGTTTTGTTTTTTATACAAATTGCTATAAAAATCCTGCGTCATAGTCGGTAGTTCTTTTTTCTCACTCACGATATGACCATCCTCCACTTTCAGTTTTTCAATATATTGGTTTTCCTGAGCTGCTCTCTCCAGACCCAAGAAAAAAGCAGTGCTCCTCTCTCCCTCCAGTAAGTACTGGGAGCGACTCCTAATAGCCGCTCCTTTGCACCGTTTTATTTCAATTTCTGCCATTTTACTTTTATATCGCTTTATATAACTTTCGCTACTGTGGGTGTTATCTTTTTCAATTTTTTCTATTTCTTTATTTAACATTTCATTCACAATGTATTCCTCCCTTTTTTCCGCCCATTTTTTTCTTTATATCTTATCGTAGTTTTTTTAATTCTTAGTTTTACATCCTCCCAATATGCTATTTTGTCCTCCACAAACGGGATATCACGGGCACACTGCGTTAGAGTTTTTTTTCTTTTTTCTTTATAGGTTTTATCTTCTAAGAAACTATTATTAAAACACTAGGTGCCCCTACCTTTTCTTCCCACACCAGTCCCCAAGTTCAGTTCCACATACGCATGGTCACTCCATGTATTAAAAATATATTTTATTCCTGACGCCTCTTTTATTAGCCCCGAGGCTACTAAAGCTAGATCTATGCGAGACTGCTTTAGAATGCCCAAAACCACCTGTCTCCTGGAGTACCCCCTCACCCTAGGATTACAAACACTACCCTTCAGTTTTTCACTCCGTAGCACAGCCACTCTACGTGTCCTCCCAGTTCCCACCTGGGAGTAGACCTCACCCTTCCACTGTTTTTTCACTTGGTTTAAAGTCCCAGCCTGTTTCCTGCAAGCAAATCATGTCATAATGTTTGTATTTATCCAAGACTGCTTGAATTTTGACTGGGCTTTTAAAACCGTTCGTGTTAAAAAACACAAGGGCTAGAGAGTCAAACGCCATAAGAGCGGCTAGTGAAAATAGGTAAAAAGCTATGCACTTAATCCTTAATCTCATTTTTTCAGCCCCTTCCTCCCTCTACTCCCATTTTTCCTAGCGCTACCCTGTCTCTTTCTGACCTCTTGCATCTTCCGGGGATCAAAATCAGAGTCTGAGGGAGGGTCCGGCAACAGCAGAGGGGCGCTACCAGCCCCGCCGCTGAAGGCATCGCTGACGTCCATAGAGGATCCTATCGCCTCCAAAGCCGCCTCCCTCGCCTGCGCATCAACCACCAGCTCTTTAGTCAGCAAGGCTCGCCGTTGTACCAAACCAGAAATCGTCTTCTGGCTCTCGTCCGGCTTGTCTTGAATCCGCTCTCTTGACCTCGTGCTGGCCCGAAGCTTGCTTCCCACCCGTTCAGATCTGTCCGCTGAAGCATCCGGCACCCCCACAGCTCCAGTTGTCGTCCTTGGCACCGTCTCCACCTCTGCCCTCCTCTCGCCACTGGCTCGAGGGGTGACTCCTTCCTCATCAGGTCTTTCTGGTGGAGTCTCCAGCAGCACCTCAACCCCCGATGTCGTCTCCGGCACCCGCTCCACACCTGCTGTCGTCCCTGGCTCCATCACCACACTGGCTGCAGGCTCCGGTGTCATCACAGCACTGGCAGCCAATCTCTCCACAGCGGACAGCAGCTGTAGCCCGGTCACGGGTACAGTCGCGTTGCTGTCATCTGCCTCTTCCTCACTCTCCAGGGCCTGCTCGTCTTTGTTTTATTATCAAAAATACAGATTTATACATTTCAACATTTTGCCATAAACTTTTCAATAAAAAAGCAATGACAATTTGCACCAACACAACAGATAAAAAAATAAACCCTCCAAGCTAATACTAACTTTAAATTCAAAATACTCAACACTTATCCTGGCCCACAAATCAAATCAACAAAATTAAACCTCCCCGTAACTCAAACAGACAGACACCAACTTTTTACTCGCACTCACAGACATAATGTAAACAACAAAATAATCCTTAATGATAATTAGCCATTCTTGCGATATACTTATTTTTACATTTTAATCCTTTCAATCAAAATGCATACATAAAACAATACTTCAGAACACCCCAAATTAATCCCACCTATATGCTAAGCATTTCAAAGATTGAACTCCAACTCCCCTCCCTCCCCATATTTACACAACTTTTCTCTTTTTTTGGTACAATACCTCAATCACCTATCTACCTGTTCAGTTCAGCTCCCATTTATTTTAATTTTAATGTTTACTTAATTTTATATTTTTATCCCATCTCATATTTTTCCCAAAACCCATACTACTTCCCCCTCTACATTTCACCCCTTTCCTCTTTGTACCCCCATTTCTCCCAAGACCACTCTGACATGGATTTTCAGCCTCCGCAGGAGGTGAGAAAGAAACAGAGTCCAAGGCGTTCTCCGAGGGCGGCAGAGGGGAGTTACAAACCCCGCCACTGAAGGCACCGTATGCGTCTAAAGAAGATCCCATCTCTACTGAACTCTCTACCATCGTCTGTGCACCAGCCACCGGCTCCTTTATCAGCGAATCTCGCCGCCCCCTCGAGGTGGAGCTCACCCTCTGGACCTCGCCTGGTTTGTCCTGTACCTGGTCTCTCGGCCTCGCACTAGTCTGAAGCCTGCCCCTCTCCCACACAGGTTCACTGACTGGAGTCGCCGGCACCACCCTCTCCATGGCTGTAGTCTCTGGCTCCTTCTCCGCTCCTGCTGCCTCCTCTCCTGTGGCTCGCGCCCTGGCTCTCTCCTGATCCGTCTGCCCCGGCGTCGTCGCCGGCCTCTCCACGTTATCAGTCGTTGTCTCCGGCATAGGCACCACTCCCCCTGCTGTCACTGGCTCCGCCACTGCTACCCACGCCTGTCCCGTCGTCAGGCCAGGGCTGAAGTCTGCTGTCTCTCCACCCGTCAGCCGGTCCTGCTCCGCTTTGGGCCGCACGTCGCAGCTGCCACCGGCCTCCTCCTCACCCATCTGGGACTGCTCTCCGACAGAAGAATCAGCAGAGCTGTGCAGGTCGATCAGCTCCTCCTCCTCCGTCCCCGTCTCCTCCTCCACCACCAACTCTCCCACACACACACAGTTTTCAAGCATCTTTTTACACACTCTGCATTTTTGCCTCTGTTTCATCGCGCACTCTCTGGCAATGTGGCCCTGCTCACCACATTTGTGGCACAGGAACTCCGGGCATTCTCTGAGAATGTGGCCCGGCTGCATGCAGCCCCTGCATATTTTTGCCTGTCCATTGTGCAGTACTCGAAAGTATTCAGACCCTACTACTGTATCGAACTTGGTCGAGTATGGCAGGGACTGCACGTGCTCCAAAAACCGGACTCTCAGAAATCTTGTACCGTCTGTTACTCATGAGCCAGGCCACATTCTTCTTCTGATGGCGGAGATTGGTGTCACTCCCCAGTTAGCCAGTTTTGTCAGAATACTCTCGTCTGTTATATAAAAAGGCAGGTTCGGGAAGGAGACGACCAGTTCGTTGTTTGCGATCTCACTCGCATGAACCCGTGTATCCCCCACCCTGAAACCCTCCATTAGTTTTTCTTTTGCTGCCAGATTTGCCATTGTCAGTTCATACTTGCGCAGCGATATTATTCTGCATGCCAGCAGCGTCCCACACTGCTTCTGTACCTGCGTGATCAGTCCCATTGCAGTCATATTTTCTCCACCCTCCAGCTCAACATTCACTGTCAGCCGCTTCATCTCATGCGTGTCCCTTACTTTCTCTGCAGCTCTGCTCGCTGCACTCTCCAACTCTTTCCGCACAGCTACCACCAGGTTGTTCACCTCTGTTTCAGCTGGGGCCTCGCTCCTCTCTACAATCCGTGTGGGAATCTCTGTGCTCGTTGTCGGTAATCCAGTCCTTGTCATGCCATCTTTTGCCGTCAGTATGGGGATATTGATTCGGGTTGTCGTTAATCCAAGCAGGGTCGTACTGTCTTTGTCAGCCATTTCAGGGACGTCTGTGTTCGTCGTCGTAGTGCCAGGCAGGGTTCGGTGCACAGGTGTAGCAATGATCTTGGAGAAAAAAAAAAACGCGCTCTTTTACAAACAATTGTAAAACAGGCAAAAAACACGCCAAAACGACGGAATTAAACACTTCCCCCCCCCCCCTGAACAGTGAAACACTGTCGGGGGTACGAGAATGAACAATCAAACGACAAACAAAGAAAGCCACTCACGGCATGTAAGAAAAACGAGTAGAGTACGGAGAAAAGCCGGAGCAGAAAGACAGGCGTGCCTTGTCGGAGGAGCACCTGCAGCTGTGTGACCCACAATGCACTCTGGCTCTGGAAAACATTTTGCCATGCGTTTTTCAAAAAAAACACATGCCAGTTTCACAAGCACAACAGATAAAAAATAAACCCTTGAGAATTAAAATTAACTATAAATCCAAACACATTTAACAATTAACCCAACCCATTAATCAAAACAACGAGATTAAACCTCCCCATAACTCAAAACAGACACGTACCAATTTTACGTACAGTCACAGATCTAATATAAAGAAAACATAATCCCCAATAATAATCATCTGTACTTTTTGCACAAACAGTAAGAAAATAACCCCTTCAAAAAGAATACTAACTCTAAATCCAAGCACATTTAACACTTATCCCAACCCATAAATCAACAAACAAATGAAATTAAACCTCCCCATAACTCCATCAGACAAATACCAACTTTTACTCACAAACACACACATCATGTAAACAAACAAAAAATAATCCCCATAGATAAATCACACAATCAACTTATTTTCACACTTTTGATCATCACAATCAAAAAATGCACACACAAAACGATATTTAAATCAAAACACCCCAAAATAATCCTACCGAATCAAAAGTTAAACTCTAACCCCCCTCCCTCTCCGTATTTACACAATTTGACTTTATTTACAAACAGCACCTCGAACCACTCTTCCCGGCAGGCATGCAGTAGTCTCAAGTGCGCCTTCAGCAGGTTGGTGAAAAGCGCATCCACACTTACTCTCTTTTTCTCAAAAAGTGCAAAGTTGCGTCTCAAGACTACTGCATGCCTGGCGAAAGTGAGGATCGTGTTGGCCTGGACCACCTTCCCCTCCCCCGTCCTGTTTAGGCAGGCCGAAGAGCCACACCCACTTCCAGTCCTTCAGCTTCTTGAGTTCTACTAGGCACACAAAACACAGCAGGTTATGTACCGTCAGCCTAAATTGTTTCAGGGCAGGACAGTCGAGGACCAGATGTTCAAAGTCCTCGTCTGCCTGACCGCAGACTGCACAAGTCCGCAGGAACTGGAGCTTGTGAATCTGATGCAGGACGATGCTGGTATACATCCTCCTGTGTCTGAGCTTAAAGTCATTATTGAAGACAGAATGAGGGATGGCGGGAACGCTAAGGTTCCCCCAGATTGTGCTTACGTCATTGCTTGGAAAAACAGCCGACCACCTCGATTCTGCCACGGGTTTTTTAACTACTTTTGCCACCATTATGTCCATTATTTTTGTTTTGATACTTGCCAGATTGAATGTTTTAGCGCCCAGACACAGGAAGAAGTCTACGGCATCCTCCTGCATCACATTGCTCTGTTTTCTTTAGCGAGCCCCAGTCCCTGCGGACACCCTCAAACAGGCTAAGCCCTATCTCCTCGATCAGTTTCGCCTTGTAAGGCTTCCCGACCTCTTCAGTCCCGCTATTGTGTTCCATTTATTAAAATACAAACTCCTTTCTTCTCCACAGACAGACCCGAGCGTCGTCAGACCCGCCTCGCGGAGAGCTTTGGACACAATGGGCCTGCCGTTGTGGAGGAAGAAAGGAGAGTTCAGAAAAGGTAATCGCATCAAATGTCCCTTGTGTTGTATGTCAGGTCTGAGGTGGGGCAGAAATTTGTCCCAAGCCTCCAGTACTTCGTGAAAGAGCGCGGGCCAGTCTCCTGAAACATTTCTGGGAGAGAGAGCGTACAAATTGTACACGCCTCCCTCGCCGTAGTCTGCCAGGAGTCCGGCCAAAGCATCTCTCCACGGGTGCTGCTTCTTCTGATCCAAAAAACAGTCAGTTTTACCCGGAGCGCGTCTCTTTTGGCAATTATGTCAATCAAACTAAGCCCCCCTCCCTCTTCTTAGCGATTAACGTCCTGCGAGCGATCATATTACCCATCCCTTTCCACAAAAACAGGGATATGATGCTATTCAAAGCCCAATCCGGCAACTCACAGGACCCCAAAATATGAAAAAGTTTGGACAGTACCAGAGTGTTGGATACAATTACCTTTCCTCTTATGGCTGGCCATAAGTTGCATATATTTTTCACACTTTTTATTACACCGTTCCAATTTCTGCCCCTGGCTTTTACACTATCTTTCCCTATCCAATCTTTCTCTCGTCAGTTACAATATTAAAACCCCATTTTCTTGTGTCAATTTCATTTTCCAAAAACACCATCAGTTCAGACTTTTTCACGTTCACTTTAGCGCCAGATGCGCACTCGTACTTTTTTACTTTCTCCATTTGTCCAAGTAAGAGCTGTTTTTTAGAAAAACATTAATATCATCTGCGTACTGTATGATTTTCACTTCGTTGCTCTCTTCAGTTTTTACTCCTACAATCTCAGCATCACTGGTTATGCTAAGCGTCAGTGGTTCGGCCACTAGGCTGTACAGCATGGCCGATAGGGGACACCCCTGTCTAATCGACCTCTCCAGATCCACCCACTCAGACAGAAAACCGTTCAGTTTTATTTTACTTTTGGCTTGTTTGTACATTAATTTAATATAGTTGATGAAATTATCCCCAAACCCATATTTACGTAATACCTCCCACAAAAAACTATGCTCCACCCAATCAAAAGCTTTCTCTAAATCAATCCCTACCAAAATCCCACCCTCTTTATTCATTTTATTCACTAAATTCTGCACTACTATTATATTGTCATTTATGTCCCTTCCCGGTATGCTGTAAGCCTGTGTTATCGAAACTATCTTGGGGATAACCCCTTTCAACCTGCTAGCCAGGACTTTGGCTAACACTTTGTAGTCTAGATTTAATAGACTAATTGGCCGATAATTTCCCAAGCACTCTTTTTCACCTTTCTTTTTAAAAATCAGGGTGATCACTCCCTCTGAGAAGTGGTCGGAGACTGCACCCTTCCTGGCCATGTCCTCAAAGACTTGCAAAAGGATTGGAGAGAGCAGCTCAGAAAAACTGCTATAAAACTCCGCTCGGTGAATGGGAGTTCGCACAGATATTTTTCCTCGCAACTTATGTTCTTGCTAATGTGATTCGTCATAGCTTTTATCTGCTCTTCCTCAGGGCTTTGTTTCTGATACAGTTTCCTGTAAAAGCCCTGAGCCACCATCAACATTTCCTTGCTCCCACTCACCGGCTTCCCGTCCTCCCTCTTCAGTTTGGCAATGAACTGACTTTCCTGAGCTACTCTCTCCAGCCCCAGGAAGAATGCAGTACTCCTCTCACCCTCAAGCAGGTAATGGGAGCGACTCCTGATGGCTGCCCCTTTGCACCTCTTATTCGTTCAGTTCTATTTTTAGGGCCTCGTAGTTCGCACTATCATAGGCTCTAATTATTTTCCATTTTTCTTATTTCAGTATTTAACAGTTCATTTATTCTGTTCTCCTCCCTTGTTTCCTCCCATTTTTTCTCTTTACTATGTTTTATAGTAGATTTTTTTAGTCTTTTTTTTACATCCTCCCAGTACGTTAACTTATCCTCCACCACCTGGATGTCCTGTACACACTGTTTAAGGATTTTTCCCATTTTAGTTCTATACATTTTATCCTCTAAAAGGCCGTTGTTTAAACACCACGTACCCTTTGCCTTCTTTATTTTTGTCCGTTCCTAAGTTTACCCTCAGGAAAGCGTGATCGCTCCAGACATTAAAAGTATAGTCAATTTTCCCTATTTCTTTTATCAACCCCGAGGCTGCCAGGGCAAGGTCGATCCGGGACTGTTTGAGAGTCCCCAAGACCACCTGCCTCCTGGAATAGGCTCTCACCCCCGGAATGAACACCTGCCACACGTCCACCAAGTTTTTCAAAGTCATTATTTCCTTCAGTTTGTTTCTGCTCGTATCATTCTTAAACTTATTATGGGCATTGTCACTACTGCTGAGCGTGATGTTGAAGTCACCCAGCAGCACTGTCTTGTTTGTGACCCATTTGTTTAAGCTACTGAAAAAGTCTCTCCTCTCCTCCTCTATGTTCGGCGCATGGACATTTACAACACATTCTTGTACAGAATTTCTAGTCCGATGCATCTGCCATCCTCCGCTCCATAGATACACTTGCTCAGTCCTATTAGCCTTACGCTAAGTAGGACTACCACTCCCCGCGCTCTCCCAGTTCCCACCTGGGAGTAAATCTCCCCTCTCCACAGTTTTTTCACCCGTTTTATTGTTTCAGTGTCCCAGCCAGTTTCTTGCAAACATACTATGTCCAAGGACTTACATTTATTTAACACTGCCTCTATTTTTGCCTGGCTTTTGCACCCATTCACATTTAAAGAAAATATGGAGAGGGAAGATAGCGCCATGAAGAAGGCTAAACAGGCGAAGCTAGCAAATGTTTCAGTCAGCATCAAAACCTGCTTCTGAGCATCCCCCTTAGCTTCTTACCTGTCTTTTTTTGGTGCAACACTAGGTCTCTTCTGCGTACTCTTCTCTGGCTGGCAGGCATCATCCGAGCCCGACATCGGCTCTGCCAACAGCGAGGGGGCGAAACCCTCCCCTCCGCTTTGTACATTGTAGGCCTCCAGTGGCACTCCATGCGCCATTGCAATAGCAATCCTCTCTCGGGTCACGGTCGCCGGACCCGTCACCCTCGAGACGCATTTTCCTTTCGCCGTGGCTCCAAGTCTCTGGCTCTCTTCCATCACGGCCAGGGCCTGGTTTCTCAGCCTCGACGCAGACTGCAGCCTGCCTCTCACCAGCGTCTGCACCGTTGCTGGCATCAGAATCTCTGGCACCGTCGTCTGCACGGCTGTAGCCTCTGGCTCCTTCTCTGCTCCTGCTGCCTCCTCGTCAGTGGCTCTCGCCCCGACTCTCTCTCGATCAGACACCCCCGGCGTCGCCACCGGCCTCCCCACGTCATCAGCAATCAACACCGGGACTGGCACCACTCCCACCGCTGTCACTGGCTCCTCCGCTGCTCTGCTCACCTGACCTGGCGTCAGCCCAGCGCTGAGGTCCGTCAGCTCTCCACCCGTCAGCAGGTCTGTCCCAGGCTCAGGCTGCACATCGTAGTAGTTGCCTCCAGCCTCCTCCTCGTCCATCTGGGACCGTTCCTCGTCAGCTCCGGAGACAGAGCTATCAGCAGAGCTGTGCAGGTCGATCAGCTCCTCCTCCTCCGTCTCCTTCTCCTCCTCCACCACCAGCTCCCCCACACAGGTACAGTTATCCAGTCTTTTTACATTTCCCGCACTTTTGTCTGTGTTTCTGGGCACACTCCCTGGCAATGTGGCCTTGTTCACCACAGAAACTCCGGGCATTCTCTTAGAATCTAACCCGGCTGCATGCAGCCCCTGCAAATTTTGCCTGTCCGTCTTGTAATACCCTAAAGTATTCAAAACCCACTACCGTAGCAAACTTGGTCGAGTATGGCAGGGACTGCACGCGGTCTGTGAACCGGACTCTCAGGAACCTGGTTCCGTCCGTTACTCTCGAGCCAGGCCACATTCTCCTTCTAATCGGGGAAATCGCTGTTACTCCCCAGCTGTTCAGCTTCCCTATAATGTTCTCATCCGTGATGTAGAACGGCAAGTTCAGAAATGAGACGATCAGTTCATTGTTGGCCAGCTCACTAGCGTGCACCCGTGTATCACCCTCCCTGAAACCCTCCATCAGTTTGTCCTTCGCCACTGAGTTGGCCATTGTTAGTTCATATTTGGTGGCGTGATCGCTCTACACGCCAGCAACGCCCCACACTGCTTCTGTACCTGTGTTATCAGGCCCATTGCAGTCATATTCTCCCCTCCCTCCAGCTCAACGTTAACAGTCAGCCTCTTCATTTTGTGTACATCCTTTGTTTTTTCTACCTCTTTGTTTGCTGCACTCTCCAGATCTTTCCGCACAGCTAGCACCAAGCTGTTCACTACTGCTCCAGCTGGGGCCGCGTTCTTCTCCACAATCAGTGTGGGAGTAGCGGTGTCGGTTGTCGATAATCCAGTCCTTGTCACAATTGTAAAACAGGCAAAAAACACGGCAAAACAACGGAATTAAACACTTCCCCCCGAACAGTAAAACACTGTCGTGGGTACTAGAATGAACAAACACACGACAAACAAAAAAATCCACTCAGGGCATGAAAGAAAAACGAGTAGAGTTGGGAGAAAAGCCGGAGCACAAAAACAAGCGATTTTTTTTAAAAATAAAAAATGTATTTTGTATTATCAAAAATACAAAATACATTTTTTATTTTTTTCACATAATTATACAGTTTTTCAAATATATATATATACAAATTACAAACCAAACATTTGTCAAGCCCAAAAGATAATTTTCCTTATAGTATTCTCCTTACTAAACTTTTACATTCCCATATCTATAAAATTAAACCTCACCAAAAAACATGTTTCAGAAAACCAAACAAATACCTAAAGAGAATAAACATTTACCCTTTATTTTAACCCCAGAAACTATGCACACCATACATTCATTAACCCTAGTAACAAGGAAAAAACCCAACAAAGGAAACCAAAAAGGATAATACCGTACTTTACTGTCATTTCAGAAATTAAAACTAAGCCCCTCACCTTCTGCATACCTGCACAGGGATATTCTATTTAAAAAATACTCCTCGAACCACTCCTCCCTGCAGGCATGCAGCAGTCCCAAGTGTGCCTTCAACAGGTTTTTTTACAGTTCTAGAACGTTTACCACCTTTCCCTCGAAAATTGCAAAATTCCTCCTTAGGACTGCTGCATGCCTGGCAAAAGCGAGGAGCGCGTTCATCGGAGCATCCGTCCCACCCTTACCCTTTCTGGGTATGCCAAACAGCCATACCCATTCCCAATCTTTCAGACTCTCACTGTCAGCACCGCAATGGGTGCTCAACAGATCACGCACATTTTCCTGTAAATTTGTTAGGGCTGGACATTCAAGTATGAGGTGTTCTAGGTTCTCGTCCTCTTGCCCACACACCACACACGTCCTTTCAAATTTGGTTTTGTATATCTGATGCAGGACGATGGCAGTAAAGAACCTCCTGTGCCTTAGTTTGAAATCCGTATTGAATACCGAATGTGGGATAAAAGAAATTTTTAAGTTACCCCAAATTGTTTGGATCTTTTTTTGGGGAAAAGCTACTGCCGCCGGTTTTTTGATTAGAGTGCTGTAAATTACTTTTGTCTTTATTTGTGTAACCGGGATAGTTTTTCCACCGTGGCACAGGAGGAAATTCACAGCATCGCCCTGCATCTTGCTGCTGTGGTGCTTCAGTGTTTGCCATTTGTCGCATATACTGTTATTAATTCTCATCCCTATTTCAATTATCTGTTTTTTCTTGAAAACCACTCCAGCCCTATTCAAGGCCGCCAGTGTTTTCCCACTGTCAAAACCCATCTCACCCCTTCTCCCACAGACTCCCCCCAGTGTCGTCAAACCCGCCTCGCGGAGAGCCTTGGACACCAGGGGTCTGCCATTGTGGAAAAAGAGTGGTGATTTGAGGAAAGGTAAAAGAACCACAATTTGTGTCAATTTGTGGATTTCTAGTCCATCGCCTTAACCACTCGGCCACAACAACTTACGAGAGAGTATTAAACCAACTTTCACAAATTCTAAGAACTGTCTCAATGGCTGCAAAAGACACTTACTAAGTGTACTTCTCTGTAACAGCTGTTCAATTTTGCTTGCATTAGTTATACTTGGTGTATTCTTTCATCCTCTTTAAGATGTGGGTAGGGGTATGGGAATGGGTGTGGCTTCAGATTTGGAACAGGGTACGTCAACTTAGGCTTACCATGAGCGTTTTGACTGGTACAACTAGGGACTTCAGCTGCTCTTGACAAGATTGCTGTTCTTACTTTCGTTTCTCTTCATAATGCACAAGTCTTTCGCCTTTTACTAAAGACTTCCGTGGAGAGGAACACCAATGAGTTCAACCTATTTTTAGCAGGCTTTGCCATTTGGCTGAGCCTTGTACACTTGTGAAAAGTAAGAAAGCTGTCCTTGACTAGACCGTGGTGCTTGGATGGGTGTGCCAAGCAGCAGCCACTGCTATGCCCCTCGGAAAGAACTGCACCATGACAAGGGAGAAACATGACAGGAGGTTGACTCGGGAAGCAAAGAGTTGGGGCTCATCGCTTCTCGACCTTTTGGCTAAGATCAAGTGGTGTTGCAGAAAGATACAGCACAGAGAGAGTTAACAACGAGACAGCAATGGCCGCAAGGGGCCAAAAAGAGCAGTCAATCCCAAGGGTCGGGCTGAGACACACTACGATTCCAGGCAACCACGGAAGAAGACAAACTGCAGTCCAGAGAGTTCTTCGGCAGGCAAGTCATAATTGGGCAGCTACAACTGAAGGTGGAGGAGGTTCACTGCATCCAGTGGAACCAGCAAGAGAAGGCGTTCGACGTTACACTGAGGACCGAGGACATCTACCGGAGTGTGGCTGAAATTTGCCGAGCAGAGGCAGGGGTAAGGCCGCTAGCCGGCTACAAAGTACTGAACCTGAACAGACCTAACTTCAGAACAATAACTGTGCATATGTACAACCCCTTTGTAAATGACTCGGCGCTAGCTGCATTCCTGGGGCAGTATGGAGAGGTGGTGACGGCTGCAAGACATATAAAGGACACCCTGGGGTTTTGGACTGGACGGCGGCAGTTCCAGGTACTGCTGCATCATGACGCAGAAGGTCCAGGAGGCCTGAAACACCCACCTGCCTTCTTCAGCCTTGGTGAAGATCAAGGGTATCTATTTTACCCACGGTAACCTGCTTTCTGCAGGAAGTGCAGACAGTCAGGTCATGCAGAGGCAGGCTGTGGGGAAACAAGATGTCGTTTCTGTGGACAAACAGGGCATTCAGCCAAGGAGTGCACAGAGCCAAGGACTTGCCATGGATGCGGTGGAACTGACCACCTGTACCGAGGCTGTCCTGGCCGCAAGAAAACTTTTGCTGAGGCTGCCAAACCTACTGAGGCTGGCGAGCCCAGTAGGGGAACAACACATGGACAGAATGACGGGGGGAGGACGGTACAGGAGGGCTCCGGAGCCGACACGTCGGGGACTAAAGGGGAGGCAGCGCCCCAGGTGAAGGGCATCGCCGGAACAGACGGAATGGCCCAGGCATCCACGGACAGCATGGAAGATTTTCCTGCCATCATTTCTGATCCTGCTCCCTCCAAATCAAAGCAAGGGGCACGGAAAGGCTCGCAGGCAGGAACAGGACTCCCGACAGAGCAAGGAGAGAGTGGGGAGGGGGTAAGCAATAAAAAGTCAAGGGCCGCTGACAAAGTGGAGGAAGGAGGGGCCCAGGAGCAGAAAGATGGGGACACGGGTCAAAAGGTGGGAGGGGATATGGATGATCGGGCTTTGGGAAAAGTAGCTGGCATACTAACAGAAGGGTTGGGCCTGAGCTTCAATCTCCCCCCAGGCCTTCTCATGCTGTCGTCCCCTTTGGGGGAGGATGCATACGAGGGACTTAGTAGACCAACATCATCGCCAAATTCAGAGACATTTTCCTGGGCTGACGAGATGGAAAAGGAAATTGGGTTAACTTAGGAATGATCATTGAGGATGCGCAAATCCTGAAGACTTTGCATAAGTGTATTTTCTAGTATTTTCTGTGTTGACAAATTCTGGTTACTGGTAGTGAAATTGAATTAAGTTTCATGCTGCAAAATATGTGAAAGTTGTATGTTTGAAATTGTATGATTGTGTGCAGAATTTTGATAATAAAAAAAAACAAAAAAAAAATCTGTTCTTATCAGTATAATATCTGATATATGCTCTATATGAGGATAACGTAGTAAGAAGATTTTTAGCATCAGGAGATGAAAAAGGGGCTTGCTCTGTTCACTCCACGCATTGACCCGGTATTGCAGCTGCAGTCAGAGCAGAGAGGAGACGCACTCCCGGCTTGTTGTGTTGGCTTCATTTTTACACAAAACAAATAATCACCGTAGCTGTGTTTCAGCTGCAGGACAGCAGTGAAGGCCCAGGTATACAATCCACGGCCCGCCACTGGGTTTCAGAGATGGTCTCCTTCAGTGTGATGTATTGGAGTTTATAGTATTCACTGATCTGTCTGGACACCGTGCTCTTCCCCACTGCAGGAGGCCCCAATACACACAGGCAGATGGGCTGGAGAGAACACACTGACATGGGTTATCTAGAACAAGTAGCAACTGTATATCTATAAATTAAGTTCTAGCGTAAGTTCAGTCAGGAAGACTATCCTTGTACGCTTAGACTTGTAGTCCTCTCTCTCTCTCAATACGACTCCATCACTAGCGGCACTTTCTCAATTCCGGCTGTCACTGTCAGAGGCGTCATACATGCCCAGCTGTTTAACAGCTGGGCGCTCCCAGCCAAGCGTCACTCCCTCATCGTTAGCCTATCAGCTTACTGCTGTCTCCTTTTTCAGTTGTCCAGCTGCAGTTTTGTGCAACCGTCCTCCTCCCTACCACCATCTGTCTTCGCAGATTCAGCACTCCATCAGCATCTCCAGCCACCACCACCAGTGTCTGGACTCCTAGGGGGGATTCATATTGTTGCCGCTCAGGGCAATCATAACTCGATCTCAAATCTCCCCGTCGAGTTCAAGCGCCAAAGAATTTCTGTGTAACTCATGAACGCATCATCTGTCATAATAAACGTTAACTACTAATCATTCCCTTGTCTCTCCTGATTGAAATATGTCACACTGCTTACCAAAATTGAAAGTTTTATTTTCAGTTTTATTTTTCTATATTGACAAAATGGAAAAATTGCTGCCCTTTGTAGCACTATGTTCCAGTCTATCAGTCTGACCTGAAGCAGCCCTATACCACCTCGCTCACTAAGATCTCTCCGCCAACAGCTTTTAGTTGTTCCGAAAAAAAAAATGACAACCCGGGCCGACCGGTCCTTCTCTGTTGCTGTCCCTCAGCTCTGGAACAACCGTCCCCTTCATGTTAGGTTGTCATCCACCTTACCAATGTTTAAAAGCCGTTTAAAAACCTATTTCTTTTCCTGGCCTTTCACCTTTGATCTGAACGGCACTTTTGTGTGATTTGTGTCAGTTTGTCTTAATTTTAATGTGACTTACTGTTATTAATTCAGTCTTTGATTGTATGACTGCTTATCTACTGTATGTGCAGCACTTTGGGCAACCTGTGTTATATTTTAAAATGTGCTATACAAATACATTTTGATTGATTGATTGAATCTCTCATGGCCATCTGTCCTGGGCCCCAATTGAGTTCCATCCTGAAGTCCAACCAGTGTTCATCATTTCTTCACAACATCTAGATAAGGGAATGTTGTAGCCAATTATTTATCAACCAGATGAAACAACTATAAGAACAACCCCTTTTTATTTTACACATTTTTTATTTCAGCCATTTTTAGATCATTACAAAGCAAAACATTAAAATATATTTTTAAATCTTCCTTAAAAAAAACTGATTTACAATTATATCAGAAAGTGTTGAAATTACATTATGTGCCTATTATTTCCTCTTAATTCTTGTCACACCTTCATTGATGTTTTTGAATTAAGCTTAGACTGTCTGACATCACATTTTATAATGTCAGCACCCTAAAAGATAGGACAAATCATGATTTGATTTTATTGTGGTGATATAGATGTCATTTATGGTGTTAGAATGTTGCTAAGCAGTCCTGTTGACACCGGTGCGTGCCTCCCTTTGTGCGCTGCAAGCCGGAGAGCAACCACTTGTTTGAAAATGTTTTTGAAAGACCAAATGCCAACAAATATGGATTGAAGCAGAATATCACACTACATTTGGACAGAGGCAGTTACAGAGACGAGGGCTGAGTGCTGCTGTGTGTGTCTGTGAGAGACCACAATGTTTCCGTAAGTAATTAATAATAATAATAATAATAATCTGAATGTCAACGTTATGAATGAAGCTTCAAACTATTCAGTAGAGCCCTACACTCATGTGTTAATAAATTAAATTGATCAAAATATTCACATCTTAATGTAAATATTTTTTTCACAGTTAAATCAATATTCTGCCACCACAGCAAAGTTATCAAACTGAGCCAGTTCAAATGAGTGCGTTCCTATGGCAGCCCAGCCGTTCTTTGTTGTCAGTACCACAGCGTTCTTCCACAGTGGGTATCCATTCAGCAGCCCTGACGCATACTGACCCTACAGGGGGCGGAATCACAGTGACAAGTTACAGGAAATACTACATATGCTTATCAACTTCATTAGATACAGTAGGACTCTATCTGCTTTGTCACATGCAGGTGTGGCTGAGAGGTTGTTATCATGGGATTACATTGTAACCAACATTAACAACAGTCACTGCAGGTCCAGTCAATTCCTACTGAGCTGAGCAACCAGCAAAACCTGAGTCAGTCTATGGAGTTTAAGCAAGACTGCTCAAAAACAAGGTTTATGTGCATTTTTTGTATTATGGAAATTATAGTGTGACCTGCTCAATCATTTAAAGCTATCAGCTCGCTAAATAACTCTAAATATTTCACTACAGTAAAACTCAAGTGGGACAACAGCTAATGAGTATTTTCAATGTCAATTAATTAGCTTGATAGCAAAAGGAATCCAATGTGGCGATTGTGTTAATCACACTGAATCTAATCTAATCTCAAAGTCTTCATGAGCACTCTTCAGACTTCAAAGTATGTGGATTCAGTCAAGCTGCTATATTATTTGGTCTTTAACAACATATTAATCATTATGTCAAGTTGCCAAAAGCCCACTTTTTTTTTTTTTTATAAATTGGACACAAAGGAGTGTCAGTGTAAAAGCTTTCCAAACATTAAGAACCTTAAGTCTCCACTTACTTCCACAGTGAGTGATAAAGTGTGCCAACCATACGCTCGGGTACCAGACAGTCCCTCCGCAAGTACAGTCTGTCCAGCTGATCACAAAAGAGAACAAGACAGTGAATGGCATGTACTCAGGTCAGTCAACATCTTCAAAAATATCTTTATTTACAACTGTTATCAGATTACTTTTTATTTTCATTTTCTTTAAAGGACTAGTTTTATGGTAATCTGTACTTTTCCTAATGTCAACAAATTCCATTAAAATACCAAAACCAAGACAGAAACACAGACAAGTGGAAATGTGCAGTCAGTGATTGACAGGCATTTTAAAGCAATCCCACATACTCACTTCCCCAAATGTGGATTAGTCCGCCACTGAAAATAGTCCCCAACAAATGCACCATTTCCTCCTGTCCCAGCAACGTGTGCTAAAAACTGGAGTGGCCAGTTTTTGGAATTCACTTCGGCTTTTTTTAAATATGACATCCATTTGTGAGCCGTCTTTAAATATTTAAGTATTCAGAGCCTCAGAAAGTATTGAGAGAAGAACTAACACATTGTTGGTTTTGGTCTCCTTTGTTGACAATAAGAATTATAGAATATTGCTTGCCGTAATCTTTAAATGTCTACCCCAAAGTCAGAGAACATTTTCCCATTGAAATATTTCCAAATTTTTCGTCGATATAATAAAATGTGTATGAAGCAGAGGGTGATACTACTGACAGAGATCATTGGTAACTTTGTATGTGCCATCTGCAAACACCCAGAAGAAGACTCCTTTAGCGCTGCGGACTGACTGGCCTCCTTTATCCACCCTGGCTGCTATGAACACACCACCTGCCTTCACGCTCTCCATGAAGACATCACATGACACCGTCAGGTTCTCCCTGTAACATCACAGTGTGTTATTATGTTGGATGGACTTCTGGCACGCTCCTGGATTTCACACAGTTAAAGCTACTACAAGGAACTGTCTTTTTGTATTGAGTTTTACGGTCTCTGTGGACAAAAGCAGTAGTGTTTGAGAGCAGCAGAGTCCCTTTAGAAAACTTCTCATTTTACAGCAGCAGGGTCTAACAGTCTGTCCTGGTTCTGGTTGTCCTGTGCCTCCTTTCCTGGGTCTCCAGCAGGGACCGGCGGAGCAGCGAGGCAAAGCCCTTCCCCTGGTCGGAGCAGGAGACGCTGCTGCCGGGCGCCGAGCTCTCCACCTCCTGCCGGAGCTCCGACAGCAGGTCAAAGGCGGCAGCGAAGCTGGATCTGGGTCAGCCCATAGTGACGAAGGCCCCTCTACGGTCTGAGCTGAAGGAGATTCTGGTCAACCTGCATGATTTCGACTGATTTGGAACAGAATCTGACCCGGTGTCACAAGTGAAAAGCATTGAGAATATAGAAATAGCCAATCTTTTTGCCGATGGTCTTGTTTACTTAGATGGGTCGAATAGAGGCATCAGCATTATATCAAGATTGTTTCATAAAAGTTCCTCATAGTAACTTTAAGTAATCATATGTATTGTCACTGGGACACCAGTGCTGAAAACAAACACTATGAGGTACTTTAAGGTACATCCCCTCACCACTGATAGTCTCCTATGACACTAATGGTCTGGTCAGCATCAGCCACCCATGTGACGGGTCTCTCAGTCACAACCTGTCGTAAGGTGAAGACGTGAGGTCCGGGGTCGGTCATGTTGATGTAGTACTCGAACACCCCCGTCTGGTCAGCGAAGTCTGGAGCCTCTGAGAAGGGAGGGTTTCCTACAGGAGGTCGCATACAGGCAGAGAAGATGGATGGAGACTGTTAAGAAGGTATCAGAATAAAGTACATTGGGAAATACAAGAATTACATCAAACTGTTATTATATTTATTAATAGTTTGAGAAAGCTCATAGTTTCCGCTATGGCCCTGTCTTAACTTAACATTAAAATTACTTTTTACAAATCAATTATTTTCGGAATTAAACTTTGGTTCCTGCGTTTTATTAGTCTTTGTTTATACCATTCTTTCCAAAAGGATATAATTATCTGGTTTCACCTCAATTGGGGAAAAAACATAATCTATTGCTCTTAATGTGTACTATAACTTAGGTTGTACTTTGTTCCAGTGAAATCATGTCCTTGTCTGATATAAATCTATTAAAATGGTATGATATTTGGGTTCTGTACATGCCGTACTTACGGACGTTAAAGTGGTCCGTGTAGACTTTAGGGAAGCGAGCAGAGGGAGGGGAGTCAGGGTAGCTGCCTTTCTGCCCTGTTGTCATGGTGGTTAATGTGTAAACCTCATCTTCAGCCAGCTCTAAAGTCAATGATCCATCGAAAAGCTGAAATCATGTGATAAACAAACGTGTAAAAAAAAAAAAAAAAAAGGTCAAGTTGTTATTTGGTGCCAAGGCTTTTTTGTAGGAGGAATCTTTTACCTTCTGTGGAGTTAGTTTCTCAAAGAAGGAGGACTTTTTCGTTTTGAAGTTAAACTGTGACCGCCAAACTTGGAGCTCCTTAATGGAGGCCTAGGAAGAATAAATCACCTAGAATAAGACAAAAGAACCATTGGCTAATTGTAAACAGTGTGATGAAGACCGCAGGGGAACTTACAAATGATCCCTTTAGCTGGAAAGTTGCATTCTGGGATGACACATTGAAGGGAGGGAGCGGAGGTCTTATGCACACTGAATGATCGTGAGTCTGTAAAGGAAACAGGGGAGAAAACATTCAGAGGAATTTTGTTAGTTTTGTGTAAAATAGTACAAGAGGCTTAAAACATGAAAGCTAAACATGTATTTTCTGTTCAGCTACACCCGTAACAACTTTATAACATCATTCTTAAAACACAGAAGCAGAGGAGGAAAACTTTGGAAGCAAAAAGTCAAAATCTAAATAGGAAAGCCTAACTTACCATGGTCTCTATGACAACAGTGAGGTTTCCTTTGCCGTCAGTCAGCGCTACATAACTTCCACCTTGTGCCAGATGTCCAACAGTCTGCAGGTAGCTCCATCCTGGCTGGGTGAACTGTGTGGTGTGGGCTATGACGAAAACATTCAGTTAATAAACTGTTCCAGATGACGAAGATTTTTAAAAAGAACACGTGACCAACATTTTCACAAAGATTTGTTTCTTTAAGAGCCAAAACAATCAGTCAGAGAGGCCCCATAACTGTCCACTATCAAACTCCTAAATGTGACTGAATAATCACATCGCTTCTCTGTTAGGTTCAAATGAATGAGGTAGAGTTAGATTTCTGTGTCATGTCAAACATTTGACCAATTACATGTTTCCAAAACATATGTGGAACATAGAAAAAACAGGAAGGCATATTCTTGTAACTCATACCGAGTCAAAAGGAAGACGCCAAACAAAGACATCGTCAAAGAAATTGTGCTGAGGAAAGAAAAAAACTATACATTTATATCTCAATACTGGGTTCGACCTTAATGCTTTGTATGTGAATAGCTAACCCAACCTTGTACACTGTGCGTTAGTACACCCTCAAATTCTGCTAGTGGTATCTCATAAAAGGCAACAAGGGAGTGGTATTGAGTTGGGTGTGAAGCATGGCCTTGTGGCTTCAGTGTGTGAGGACACAGGGACACTGACTGACAGTAGTGAGTGTAAACATGGACAGAAACATGTGTTCCCACGGTGCCGGTTGTCATCTTTATGAATTATCAGATATTTTGACAGAAGACAGATAGATGAGGGGAGAGAGACAGGGATTGATATACAACAGGGTCCCCCAGTTTGGTGCCTTGTTACTGTTCAAAGCCAGGCTAAATGATCCTTGGTATTTGCTGCATTTGGATGTATGCACACATCCCCTCTCTAATAATTGCTCTGGGTGAATAAGCAACATATTTGTCTTATTGGAACTTTATAAATGAATGGGTTTCACCTGTGATCCAGATAGGAGACTCCACCACATAGTTGCCGCTCCAGGGCTCCTCAGCCGTCATCAGCCCGTCTCTGCTGAATGGCAGATCCTTATAGTAGCTGGCCACCAGGTTCCAGGAGATGGTGCTGGAGGAAGAACCAGTCATCAAGCAGACAGCTGCACACAGGGACTTAACCCAGGCTCTAACTGCATCATTACAGTCACTCCTTACCCCACCATGGCGTCTGATTTTTCAACAAGTAAAACTTCACATGTTTTTCTTATGTTTGCTTAAAATAAACTAATATAAAACTGGGTACAAAAAACTTCCTTTTTAAATTTTCTCTCATAAGTTAATAAAAAACAAATGGTTGCTCAGTAATTCCCTACAAGCATACATTTCAGGTTATTCAAGTAAAGCATTTGATGAAATTCTACAATCCTAATGAAAAAAACACATTTGGTCAAAAATGCACGTCGTTCCACCACAAAGCGCTGCTTGTGTATTTACTTACGCAGTCATGAGTCCGTTGACGTAGTTCTGGTTGAGGATGCGAGCCCAGCAGCCTCCTCCCACCTCATCGTTGAAGGTGCTGTAGTCCTCTGACGACCACAGCTTCTTCTGTGTCTTCAGGGCCTCCTTCACTGAGGTGGTGCCTGGGTAGTGGGCCCTGAATGGCACACCAACAACACACGGTCAAGGTCCCTCAGTGTCACACCAACACTCAAGGTCAGTATGAGAAGAGATCTGAGCTCACACTAAATAAATAGATATCAATGGAAAACAATCTCATTTAAAAGCTTAACTTAACCATATCACGTGAATTCCACTAAGCTGACATTGCAGTTACTATACTTTGCTAAGCTAGTTAGCTTTAGCAGGAGCTGTGGGCTTTTCTTTCGTCCACCATGATTCACTTAAGCCTCATTTAGTTATGTAGAATAGCAAACTGAAATACGCAGATGCCAGTTTATCCAAATGCATATTGTGGAGGATTTCAGTATTAGAAATATTAAACACATTATTAATAGGATTTAATAACACCCCAAGTGGTGAGTAGAAGTGTCACAATAATAAGAATGTCAAAATATGTTAAGTCACAAAATATTTACTGATGGAATGTATTATATGTTTACAATATTCTTATTTGTAGAGGATATTATATGTTACAGTATTTTACTCATTGAATGTATTAAACCATAGAAGTATAGTCACTAAAGGTATTAAAACACTGTATGAATAGTTTTGAGGGTCAGAAAGGGATTATTTTGAGTGAGACTTTACAGAGATGCAGCAGAGAACAGAGGGACGGACAACTGACCAGCAGGTCACAGAGGAGGAGGAGTCCGGACGACTTCATCCAAACACTGAGATGATAACTGCCCGAAGCCAGGAGGGGCTATTGAATTTCGGCCAATCACAGAGGCTGATACTGGACATTTGAACTATTGGACAGAGACTTTTAAATATAGGCTTAGTTCCAGAGGGTTTTGCCAGAGTTCGCGCCGTTACCACTCTGGGAGGTTTACCAGCTGAGCTGGGCTATTTAGTGGGCCTTATGAGAACTCTGCCCTGGGGACATATTGATATCGATAGAGTAATTCAGTTTGCAACTGTTATAGCTTCTCTTGTTTATTAAATACTTTTTGATTGTTAACCGGATCCAGTTCATTTTTGGTGCGACTGGAAAGTCCAGCGGTCTGGGTCTCCCCTGAGAAAACATCGAACCCCAACAATATTTTCAATTGCAGATAACAGCAAGGAAAATGACTAAGTCCTTTTAGCTTTAGCAAAGGGTAGCCATTGCTATCTCAACAGCCAGCTTTTCCTGAACACATCTCTCTAGCTGTCTAGTCGTCTGTTCCTGAGACAGGGTGAAGTACGAGATTTAGATTGAGCAATATAATAGCAAATCATTTCTTATTCATAGGCTATGTTAGAGCAGACATTAGAAAGACAGACTAATATCAAAAGCCAACTTTTACTAACTACTGTATGTAGTTACTGGGTTTCAAGCATGGCGGTATTGGTAGATAATAGTGGTGCACCAATCAACTAGCCAACCGCTAGAAAAAGAACAATACAACATATTAAGAAGGAAAACACCTGGCTCTCAAAGGTCATGGTTCACACTGTGATTCATTTCACGCTTTACACTCATAACTTAGAGCCTGTTTATTACAAAGAGAGAAAAAACATGCCATGCACTGCTGAAGACAATATACAGTAGGAGTTAACACCTCAGTGACTCAGCACATACCGACATGTAATCAGATGGTTTAAATTAAACTTATAGAGAAGTGCAGCTGTGTCACACAGCCTCAAGAACAATCTGGAAAAAACTCTGCAATGTGCTGAAACTTTACCATACTGTCTGGCTAATACTGGAGGGGAATAGATTCCCATCAGTTTTGACCAACATGGGCATCAGAAAGTACTGAAAGTTGGCACTAAAGGCTTCTTAAGATTTGTAGTCCTTTTTGAGAAGATTTGATAATAAATGAATAAAATATATAGGCCATTTCAAAGTGCTTATTTTGTAAATGAAGACAGGTATCCAAAAAGCAATCTGCCGATATGCTTACATTTCTCTCTTAACACAAATAAGCATTAACGATAGGATGCCTTAAATTCGGAAACTATATAATTTGGATCCACATATGTAGAGAGCAGGACATTTATATACGTATACACATTATACAGTTGAAAAATAAACGTGTCACTGCTGTGAACAAACTATAAAAAGGAGACACTGTTTCAAAATGATCGAAGACATATCTTTGATATTTCTGTACTGACACAAAAGTGATTAAAATGAGCAACAGACAATATGATTGCAGTTTCTTTAGTAGCTTAAAAACACAAACAAATGGAAGAAGATGCTCATGCACTCACAGCAGATGACAGGCACATTAATATTGCTAGTAATGTATATCACACCATGCAGGTAAATACTATATTCCCAAGTCTTTATAGATGTGCACAGATTCAGCACATGCATCTCCTGTTAACGGCTCAGTGTTAGAGACAATTCTCACAAGAAGCTGACAACAGAGGCTGTGCATGCAGACGATGGTCCTACCCTATCACGTCTACGGCTCTGCTGAGCTCGGGATCTAGCAGCAGAGACAGGACTACGGGCTCCCACAGGTTGTCACTGGCTATGATCCTGACTGTATCCAGACCACTCTTATCCAGAGTGTACCGCAGCAGCTGGTACAGCCGGTGACAGTCACACAGGAAGACAGAGAGCAGAGGAACACACAGACTTTAGCAGTACTTGCTGCGACCATGTAAAACTGGAACTTTGGAAATAAAGAGAACGGACTTTAAAGCCGATTGTACTTTTTTTTTTTTTTTGGTCACTTGGGTCAGCCAGCCAAGCATCTGACATATCGTCATCTGATTAAGTTGATATGGCTAACGTGTTTGAACTGTGGACTATCATATTTATTAATTCATTCATTTGTTGTAGTCTTTCTGGGAAACTGACAAATGTCTAATATTCACTCTCCTGGTTTGGTCTCCACCAGCTACTGAGAAAATGATCTGAATGCTCCACTATGTTCACCAGCTCGTCTCCAACTGTGTCTGCCATTTGGGGGGGTGGTGTGAATTTGGTTTATAACAGCTTTTTATACAAAACGTCTGCCTACTACAATTGAAAAATTAAGTTATTAGAACATAATTTGTGAGCTGGAAACTCGAACTTGAATTAAAACTAATCGAGGCTAAAACCTTTTGTAGAGTGGATTATTGAGGCTAAATATCAAGCACTTCCCAGAGTTTAATCTGGGGACATGATTTCAAGTTACTCCACACTTAAGAAACACTGTTTTTGTCTTTTCAACACAAAATTGCAAAATGAGTATAGTGTAAGTAAAGGAAACTTGTAAACACGTTTTCCAGTTAGAAGACATCTGGTGAGCTAGCGTTTTGCTACCCTGCTACGTATGGGTAGCAAACGCTAAATCGCACCCTGTTTAACTCTCATAACCAGAGACGTGATCCTATCACCAAACACGAGAGGTCAGATCAGTCTGCAGTCCATCTTTGTCAAAGATGCTCTCTCTATATTTGCTACCAGAGAGCCACACTGTGTGTACGGCTACTATTCACGTTAGAGTTTACATGACTGGCGACAGAATGTATCGAGACAGCCATCATCTGAATGACCTTTTGAAATAAATTGTACAGTACCATTTATAACACGTGACCACGACCTATATGAACCATGCAACACAAATGTACACATACAGTATTCGGTGAGCAAAGGCAGATATGCAAAGATGGATATCAGATCACACGTAGTAATTTGATCCTCTGTTAAATCTACGGTTCGTTATCTTGAAAAACTATCAAGAGTAAGCTAGATTATAAAAATTGTCCAACCATCCAACCTAAAAACCCAGCCCAGTGTTGCCAACTCTTCTCTAATGAAAGTAGCTATTAGGGTTGTCACGATACCAAAATTATGACTTCGATACGATACCTGCCATAAGTATCACAATACCCGATACTTACGATACAATATCAGAATTCGATACAATACCACAAATACGATACTGGTATATTTATCTATAATAGTAATAAATAAAACATCTGTATGGTTCCCTTTTTTACCAGCTTGTTCCTGCACAGCTTTTTGAACACTTAACAAATGGCATTAATATTAATGTTGAACCTCTTCGCATCTTTTGAGTCTCTCTCATATTTCCGCTGGCTGTCAAACACAGCTGGAAGGGAACTCTGTCTCTGTGTTGCTGCCGACTCTGCTGGCATCTGTCTGACTGTCTGTGAGAGTGGGTGGATAAACAATGCTTCATTTACTTGCATAGTGAGTTTGATATTTTCACTTCATCTTTTATCTTAATTCATGGAATGATTATTTTTCCTTAACTAAAAATTAAAATAATTAGCTCAAGATCCACCAGCATGTAGCCATTTTGCATCAATTGTTTCATTTAGTACACTTTTGTGTGCATTGTGACCTCATGATTATATAGGCTCGTCGTCAAACTAGGCTAAGGCTACTCGTGTTAGCTGTATATTGGTGAGCTTGGGGGTGTTCATGTTTATAATCACATTTGCTTACCTGTCGTTCTTTGAACTCTTTGAAAAGTTCGTGGTGTCTGTCTGAAAGGTGCTTTGCCATGTTAGACGTGTTGCCTCCCTTGGTCTGTGTGGCTTTGAAACAGGTTTCGCAGACGGGTCTCTGTATGTCAGTGGGGACCGTACATGGACCACCATTTCCGTTTTTGGTTTTGTTTTTCCGTTTTTGGTTTGAAACGAAAAACGAGAATATTTCCGTGTTGTCGTTTTTTCGACTGAACGGTAAAACAGACGTGCAGGCAGCATGACAGGGAGTGGAATAGTGAGTGCGCTCTGATCGCGCTATTTTAATGAAGTATCGATACTACAAATATGCAAAATCGTATCGTTTTTAACGTATGGGTACCGCGGTACCTTGTTAGTATCGATACACCGTGCAACATTAGTAGCTAGCAGCACTAGCTCCAACAGTTTATAAATCTAGTAAGAAAGTCACCAAGTCGGCAACCCTGATAGCCCGTCCCAACAGGCCTCGCTCCAAAGACACTCCCCCACAATTATCATTGTGAACATAAACAACCAACATGGCTGCTGTTAGCACTCACAGCTGTTGAGCTAGCAGCTTGTGGAAGACTTCGGTAACGAGCAATGAGTGCACGGGCAGAAAACGCAAAGGTAGGTAGGTAGACAGGCAGGTACACCATCCAATCATTTCATTGGTGCCGAATCAAATGATTGGACGAGCTTGTTACAGTCTCGCAACAGATACCGTTTGAGCATTTGATTGATTGCCGTCAGAATGTAATCAAAACAAGATTACCAACCCCATCTTTAACATAAACATATTGATTAGTGCAGCTTTAAAACCACTTGCAACATCACATTTTGCTTTGTTTTACATGATGGCAGCAGAATACTGTACAGTTTAATACATAATGGTAAAAATGCCATGCTTTATAGAAAAATACTCTCCCATGCACATGGACGCACTATATAGGAGCATGCACATATGCAGCTTATCAATTTAGTCTATGATTGAACTGTCTCTTAATTCTTCACGCCCAACAGAAAAACAGCCACAAACATTCAGCTTTGAGGAAGTACAGCAGATGGATTTGTAGAGAAGAAGATTGTTGCAGTGGACATTTCACCATCTGTGCATCACATGTTTAGTCAATCAGTCGTTGGGGATTACATTGTCCTTCGGTGAACTCGCAGCACGCGGTTGAAACCCCACACCTTTACATTGTGATTGCACTGGCATTGGATCAAATGACTGACTTCTGAGTGTGACATCGAGCCAACTGTACTCACCCAATCGCCTCAACAGACTCATTAAGGTAGGGGTCAACGAGCATAGAATTAGCGATGCTCCAATCGCCGTCAGCTGCGATGATGCCAACACCGGTGAGACCAACTTTATCCAGCGTGTTCCGGAGCACCTTGGCAACAAAGACATGCTCTCAGAGCAACCCAGCTAAAAGTCAAGCTACAACTGGACCACTGAGATTTAAAATGCATCTCTCACGTGGGACAGGACTCAATGTTGGTGGCTGTTTTTCTCCTTTAATTTACAGTTTAGGCTGAGCTTACCCATAATGCACATGTATCAGTGAAATGAATGAGATGGCATTAAAAGATAGGTTAGGGTTACCTTGATGTACTTGCTGTCATAGTTTCTCTCATTCCAAATCTAAAAGGAAGAAAGTGAATTTTAGTTACACAGCAAACAACAAATCTATCAAGCAGCATTATATGTTCAACTTTTTCATGCAAAAGGGGTACATGTGAACTTTAGAGCTGCATGGTGTAACAGCACCTACACTTACTGGAACATTGTCCCCAAGTTAGTTGTAAAGTTATTCCAGTTTATTACTACTACTTGTGTCATATTGCCATATTGTTGGCCATTATTCCTATTGGTTAGCATAACATTTTATTGTATTGATGAAGTCGCTAAAAAAAGTCATGCAGGTCAAGAAGCACAAGCAGTCACAAGCTCAGACAGGTTGTAAACAAGCCAACAAGTAATCCAGATGATCTAAACCACTTTATATTGAGGTAAACCTGAAAGTGAGCACGTGAATAGGGTTTTGAAATACAATTACTCAATTGTGTTTCATTTGTAAATAAACTGGAGTCAAGTTGCAGAGATTGATTTAAATTCACTCCATCATTCTATTACATACAATGGGTTTGATAGTCAAACCACTTCATTGATTAAAACATAATGTGATCATATCTAATCATACTGATGTGTTTACAGAACTTAACAGATATAATGTAGTTGTACATACGATGAGCAAGAACTAACCCGGTCGAGGATCTGGAGCCATGGTTAGGAACCACTGTTTCTATATTAACTGTTTGCCCAACACAAGAAATTAGTGGATGAAACATTATTGAGATCCTTCACTGCAGTAAAAGTACTAATACCATACTGATGAAGCAATCTACTACGAGTAAAATACCTGCATTCAAAACCTTAGTCAAGTATGTTATAATCAGCACTACTAGCCCTATTTTTAGGCCTCTGCTCAAAAAATTGCATACCCATACTCAAGAGTCCACAGCTCTAACTACAAGGTCTATTTTAATAATTTTGATGGTTTAATACAGGTAACACTTGTGAGATGCATTGAATTGTGTAAATATTGTGTATATGTTACTGGTTAATAAATGATACTTATGGCACAGCTCAAGTTGAAAAAGTTCCAGGTTCGCCTGAAAAAAAAAAAAAAAAGCACTTTCATTGAACACTTTTTTGGAATTATTGCAGAGTGAAGCCTACAAATACTCCTGTGTCATAGCACAACAGGTTTGTGGTCTCTCTAAGCTAATTTTACTGAGATTGAGTGAAGCAGGCCAGCATAATAGGAGGTCCGAGTACAGAGGTCTCGATTTCAGTCAATGAGCCCTCCTTAGACGCGTCAGCGTCTCAGGAAGGCGGGTGTAAAAGCGGGTGTTGATTGACAGACGTTTGAGCCAGTAAAGTTGCAAGAAGTGCCGCGTATCCCCGAGCGTACATTTCCACTCGCCGGAAGTCTGACCGCTCGCCCAAGCTGGATTGACCGCTCTTATTCTGGAAACAGCTCGGAAGTAAACAGGATGCAGTTGGCAAGAATGATTCCAGCTTTGAAACGGATGATCTGCGACGTTATTGTACTCATTTTTCATAAAACCGGACCAAACACCCATGATTGTTTTCGGCGGAGGGCAGTACGATGGCACCTTTGTCCACTCACAGCTGTCTACTGCTTCGACAGAGAGAAAAACCGAAGGTATTTATGAGTTTGGCCACGTGTGCCAATGCTATAAAATGCATTGCAACGCATGGTAGCCGCTAGCATCAGGGTGCAAATATTGATTTGCCGTACACATAGCGGCGGTTTATGCCCAGGATTTCATGCTTTTATGCCACATTTTCTAGATGCTTATATTAGTAGTCTATAGTTGTGTTTGGAGTGTGTAAAAAGTGACTTATACGATAGTGTTGCCCATACGTTGCTGTTTAATCCGGAAAAAAAAAATGGACAAATCCACAATACTGGCGAACAATAAGGCTATTTTCCGAACAATATTTTCAGGGGTGCTGAGCCCGAGAGCCCCCCAAATGGGGGGGCGCTCGTAGCCAGAAGATTTTAAGTACTGAAAGTAAAAGTACCCGTGCAGTAAAATGTTCCCCGTCAGTGTTTTACTATTATATCTGATGTTTTAGGATACAGTATACACTCACCAGCCACTTTATTAGGAACACCTGTTCAATTGCTTGTTAATACAAATACGTAGCTAATCAGCCAATCACATGGCAGCAGCTCAATGCTTTTAGGCATCTAGACATGGTGAAGTTCAAAGCGAGCATCAGAATGGGGAAGAAAGGGGATTTAAACCTTCTGGTACCTAGCCCTATTTTTAGCCCTCTGCTCGAAAATTGCATACCCATACTAAAGAGAGTCCCAAGCTCTAACTACAAGGTCTATTTTAATAATTTTGATGCTAGAATACTGGAAACACTTGTGAGATGTGTTGAATTGTGTAAATATTGTGTATATGTTACTGGTTAATAACTGATACACTTATGGCACAGCTCAAATTGAAAAATTTCTAGGTTCGCCTGAAAAAAAAGCACTTGTATTGAACTTTTAAAAAAAAAAATAATGCAGCTGCAAGCCTAAAACTACGCCACAGACATAGAACAACACATTTTACATGTCCCCACAACATATTTTACTTCGATTGAGTGAAGCAGGCCAGCATAAATGGTCATAAAAATCAAAATTTTGATTTTTGGAACCAGCTGCTGCATTGCTGTGTACTAATTTTATACACTATATAACTAAATATCAACTATATATTCACTTTTCTTATCACTAAAAGTGTTCAATAATCCTAATAAATCAGTTTGACACCATTTTGAATCATTTTGAGCAGTTATGATGTGTCATATCTGTCATTCATAACAATAAATGGCTCATAATGTGTGTCTATGTGACCCTGGTAAAGCCGATTTACTCGTGTGAGACATTTTTAGATGCGGGATCCATGCAGGAGTGTTTGATCGTATCCGGGTCTGTTTACTGACTAAAAATCGCAAAATGCTGGGCGAACCCCCCTCTCTACATGGATTGCTCCACCCGACAGAATCGTCTGCCATTTTGTAATTCATTCCGCCAGCGCATTGATCTCACTCACAGACATGCAGCAGAACATGGCGGGCAGAGCTGTGCAGAAATCGGCTCGAATAAATCCGTTTTTCATCGCCAAAACCGTGAAAACGTAAGTTTTTTTTTACCCAATTATTTTTCTCGTGAACTGCGGCTGATGTTGGCATGCATACCCATAACTTTTGAACGGTTTGAAAGAGAGTAATTTGGACGCCGCTGTGCGTTTCCGGGTCGAATCGTGCCCCTCCTGCATGTGTTCATCCGCCATGTGCGATCCTGCTCCGTGATGAGAGAGAGCCATAGAGTGAGCATAGGTCGTCGATTTTTGGCCAAAATTGTGGCAAATCTTCTAGATATGATATTAGTTCATGTATAATTGTGTTTGCAGTGTTTACAATGGCTGGTATGATGATGTTGCTCGGACTTTTCCCGTTAATTCGATATTTAATATGTCTGGAGCAATAATCATATTTCTTTATGAAAAATGCTTTCTACTACACGCTGAATGCTGCACACTCTAAAACAGCCCCCCGTGGGGGGCTCTTTGGTCCAACGGGTTGACTTTGAACAGGGCACGGTTGTTGGTGCCGAGTATTTCAAACTGCTGATCTGGGATTTTCACGCACAATCATCTCTAGGGTTTACAGAGAATGGTCCGAAAAAGAGAAGATATCCAGTGAGCGGCAGTTGTGTGGACCAAAATGCCTTGTTGATGTCAGAGGTCCGAGTAGAATGGGCAGAGTGGTTGGAGATGATAGAAAGGCAACAGTAACTCAAATAACCACTCGTTACAACCAAGGTATGCAGAACACCATCTCCGAACGCACAACATGTGGAACCTTGAAGCAGACGGGCTACAGCAGCAGAAGACCACACCGGGTGTCACTCCTCAGCTAACAACAGGAAACTGAGGCTACAGGCTCACAGGCTCACCAACATGTGACAACAGAAGATTGAAAAACGTTGCCTGGTCTGATGAGTCTCCATTTCAGCTGCCACATTCATATGGTGGGGTCAGAATGTGTCGTAAACAACATGAAAGCATGGATCCATCCTGCCTTGTATCAACGGTTCAGGCTGCTGGTGGTGGTGTAATGGTGGGGGGGATATTTTCTTGGCACACTTTGGGCCCCTTAGTACAAAATTGAGCATGGTTTAAACGCCACGGCCTACCTGAGTATTGTTGCTGACCATGTCCATCCCTTTATGACCACAGTGGACCATCTTCTGATGCTACCTCCAGCAGGATAATGCACCATGTTACAAAGCTCAAATCATCTGACTGGTTTCTTGAACATGACGATGAGTTCACTGTACTCCAATGGCCTCCACAGTCACCACATCTAAATCCAACAGAGCACCTTTGGGATGTGGTGGAGCAAGAGATTGGCTTCATGGATGTGCAGCCGACAAATCTGCAGCAACTGTGTGATGCTATCATGTCAATATGGAGCAAAATCTGTGAGGAATGTTTCCAACACTTTGTTGAATCTCTGCTACGAAGAATTAAGGCAGTTCTGAAGGCAAAAGGGGTCCAACCCGGTACTAGCAAGGTGTACCTAATAAAGTGGCCGGTGAGTGTATATTACTGCATTAACGTTTATGCTGCATGTTTTCATCTCCTTTACATACTGCTGGTTAGTTTAATCTACAGCAATGCATCATATTCTATAAGATCATCGTAGATTTGTAGTGTCAGTAAAGTACATTATACCTCTGAGATGTAGTGAAGTAGTGTTCAGTGGCATAGGAGCGTCTGTGTCAGAGTGATATCCAGCCAATCCAAAGACGAGGATTGTAACCAAATAAATCTAGTGATGCAATGGTGACTGGGTCCACCCACTTAGGGTCAAAAAGAAAATATACTCGTAAGCGAGCAGGTGAAAGTTTTGCGAGCAGAAGAGCAGTGATAGTAGTCGCTCGCGCGCTAGGGGACACCCCTCACGCTCAAACCATGGTTTTCTCCTCGCAGGCTGCAATTTTGCTTGCGCGAGCAGCGATATTCTGCTCGGAGTGATGCGAGAGCGCTCGCAAAAGTAATAAATGTGCGCGGCTATTTGATTTGCACGCGCGGGACCTCTATCTACCTACCTACCCAATATATTGAAATAAAAGGTATTGCATTATATTCAGTCGTAAGAAGTAACAAGAAAGTCACCAAGTCGGCAACCCTGATAGCCCGTCCCACCAGGCCTCGCTCCAAAGACACTCCCCCACAATTATCATTGTGAACATAAACAACCAACATGGCTGCTGTTAGCACTCACAGCTGTTGAGCTAGCAGCTTGTGGAAGACTTCGGTAACGAGCAATGAGTGCACGGGCAGAATACGCAAAGGTAGGTAGGTAGACAGGCAGGTACACCATCCAATCATTTCATTGGTGCCGAATCAAATGATTGGACCGTTTGAGCATTTGATTGATTGCTGTCAGAATGTAATCAAAACAAGATTACCAACCCCATCTTTAACATAAACATATTGATTAGTGCAGCTTTAAAACCACTTGCAACGTCACATTTTGCTTTGTTTTACATGATGGCAGCAGAATACTGTACAGTTTAATACATAATGGTAAAAATGCCATGCTTTATAGAAAAATACTCTCCCATGCACATGGACGCACTATATAGGAGCATGCACATATGCAGCTTATCAAGTTAGTCTATGATTGAACTGTCTCTTTTAGTTCTTCACGCCCAACAGAAAAACATTCTGGACTTGTAGAGAAGAAGATTGTTGCAGTGGACATTTCACCATCTGTGCATCACATGTTTAGTCAAGCAGTTGTCAGGGATTACAGGGAAACCCCACACATGTTATCTGTGTGCCGGATAAATAAAAAAACACTATAAATTGTGAGGGAAATATCTTCATTATTCGACTTTTGGGTTGCTGGAATTTTGTCACAGCTGTCACAGTAGAGTTGTGGACAACTGTGACGACATACAGACACCAATCTGTAGAGAGTTTAGAGATACACAATGTCTTATAGAGCCTCAAGCATTCACAGTGTCAGAGTTCCTTTCTCAGAATATCACCCCAACCCAGGTGCTATCATTTTTATACACTTCCTCCAATGGCTCTACTACGACGACAAAGAGCACATATGGAATGTCAATTATGTCATTCTACAGGAATCCTGTGAGCTCACAATTCCAGTAAGTATGTTAAAGCAGAACCAGGAAGTTAGTCTATAAACTGTGATTGACAGTTTTAACACACAAACACCGTAGTTTTGATTTCTGCATTTTAACTGCATTAATCTCATACAGACAACTATGTCCTCTGTTGAAGGTTTGGAATGATCTGATAAAAAAGGCAGTTCTACTTTGCAGTGTGGAGCTAGAACATGAATGAGATTCAAAGTAAACGAGTACGCACCCCAACATACTGAATGTCCAGGTCATGGTACTGCTTGGCTCCGAGGATCCAGTTCACCACGTATGCTGCAGTGATGTCTGGGAAGTCATAGGGCCAGTTCTTACCATGGCCCACCCACCCAGGAAATGCCCAGGGTAGACCTACGTGAAGACACCAACAGACACATGCAAGACGAAGACGAAGATGCATTGTGTAGCATCAATGGAATACCAATGTCAAACTAACGGCCTCGACAATACAGTGATTTCTGTCTGAGTGGACAGTAAGACCACATTTACCATCAGCCCTGTTTACCGCTAATGAATGACGCGTTGTAAAAAGTCATCATGCATCCAACCAGGTTTTCTTGATATCATTCACAGAGGTAATGAAGTCATATTTAGATCAATAATTGATCTCACTTTTACCAGCAGTTTGTTTGAGCTTCCAGCAGTTTAGAGCAGAAGTAACGACACTGTTCTTTCTTACTTATGAGTGTGATATTTGGGTTCCTCTTCTTGGCCTCTTTCATCAGCCACCACTCGTACCCTCGGAAGTAGTTCTCATCGTTCTCATAGTGCATGTGTGACGGCTCCGTTCCATCTGGAATGTCAAAATCATGAGATAACACAAAAAGAACCTGTTTCTCAGTATGTCGTCTAAGGATCCAGGGTTTATCCAGGGCCCTGATGCAGAACACTTTCTTTCATCTCTCTATTTGAATATCAAAGCAGTCACAATACACTATATGACATCTGGTGTCCTGTCAAGAGGTCTGTTGTTCTGAACATAGTAAGGATGAGTTAGATGGAAAACAATACAGTTTCACTACAATCACACTGGAATAGGGATCTCTGTCTGTCTGAGTCTGTCCTCCCTTTTCTCAACAACCGTTCATCCGTGCAGAGACGATTGCAAACTCTTCAGATCTACTGGATATATATTTTAGGAGTGTATTATGTACACACTGTGTAATGTATTGAAAGGGGACCCCCTATTGACTGAACTTCTGAACGGCATGCTGGGTACAGCTGGCTCTCCGTCGCTCACCACATTACATTCAAGAACAAATTAAGAAACAGAACTTATGCACCCAAATGACGCTTATTCTCCAGCATTGCTAGGGGATGCAGCCATGTCATAAAAGGTGTATTGCTCAAGGCCTAAGGAAGTGTAATGTTGAGTGTGAAGTTGTTTGTATGAGACTTTCTCAAGAAAGCTGCAAACAGCAGCAGCACCGCGGGTCAAGCAGTCGGCCGTTCTGAACCGATGTGATGTGAACGGGCCCTGCACTAGTAAATGATCTAGAAGTCTCTCCAACACAGCATGCAGGAACATAACCCCACGTTGTTTACATTTTATCACTTTAATACTTTATCCATTTTATATTTGCTTCTTTTAATTATATTACCATGATGATATTATTTTGTGTATTTAATGTGAAACACACTCATTTAGCAATTTTCAGCATATTTTGGGATACATTAGGGAACATAGGATCCAGTAAATGTTAGTGCTCTCTTAGTCCAGTCACAGAAAATGAAATCCATGGAAATGTTTTGAAGAGAAAATTAAAAGCTTTTCAGCGTCCACCTCCTTAAATGTGGGATTTTGCAAGTGTATCCATTATTTGTAGTGTTAACAATATCACTCACCAGTAGTTTGAGCGTCTCCTCCGATCTCCACCTTCAGTATGTGCAGAGAGGCTCCAAAGTTGGGCTGAAACAGAAGCAGAGCGGCTTTACTTGTGGAGAAGTGAAGGCTGCAGTGAATGAACGGCTCGCGGGTCCTACCTTAAAGAGGTAGTCTAATATCTGGCTGCGGTAAGGCTCAGCGTAATTCACCAGCAACCGAGACGTCGCCTAAAGGAATAAGTGGATCAAATATTACATGACAAAAAGAGTAACGATAGCGTAACATAAATATGCAGGCAGCTAACGTTAACTTTAACTTACGTCCTTCTGCGGACAGTATCGTAACGTTACCAGGAAGTAGATATAAACGGACTTAACTCACCCCTCCGCCGCTCAAACCTCCAATTCCGTCAAAAGCTCTCCCCAGGCCCTCTTTATCGGTAAGGACGTAAGTCTGAGAGGAGCACAGAGTCGACGACAAACCCAGAATCAGAGCTACCGCCGCCAGCTCTCTATGCTTCATCCTGCTAGACTGCTGGATGCGGTGCGCGCGGGCTGATGTGTACTATTTTGTCTATCACGTGACTGCGATGCTGAGCACTCACGTGATCTCCAAGGCCACCTCCGGTTTGTTTTTTATTTTTTTTTTACTAGTTCAGGTTTTTTTTCGAAATAGATAACAAAATATGACAAACTATCATTTTTTTTCTTGGATCAAGTTTCTTTGAAGATGTCTATGAAAGGAACTGACATTTTGTGTTGATTTTGGAGGTCATTGTGGTCAAAAGCAGTAGTGTTTCTGGTGGTACTGGATGTCCAGGTGTCAGTTGTTAGACAAACTGCTGTGGCTTTTTTAACCCTCTCTTGCAGTGAAGCACGTTCTCTGTCATACAGGCCTGGGATGATTCCTTGGGAGAGTGTTTTCCTCCTTGGAATTGCATACATTGGATTGAGTGCATGAATAAACCTTTTGAATCCTTTGTCATCCACAACTGAAAATGGTTGGAAATCACATGCAATCATTTTGGCCAGTTCTTCATCAATTGTCTTCTGTCTTGCTGCGGTCATAGACTTTTGCAAAAATTGGCTCATAGAGCTCTGGGTTGTACTTTTAGGTGGTTGTGGTGGTGTACTGGACGATGCTGTAGACCAGTGGTCCCCAAACTAAGGCCCGCGGGCCGGATACGGCCCGCCTCCACATTTGGCCCGGCCCCCTGAACAATACCAGAGACGCATTATGATTTTTTTTCAGTCTGGCCACGCAAATCCTAGACTAGCCCCTGTCAAATAGAACGGAATAATGGCGAAAAGGTTAGGTAAGAGAAAACTTGATTCAGAATGCAGGGTATTTAACCTGCAGTGGTCAAACGATTATTTTTTTGTTCAATGCAAAGAAAAGGCTGTTTGTCTCATCTGTCAAGAGGCGGTGGCGGTATTCAAAGAATACAATCTGCGCCGACACTATGAATCCCGTCACAAAGACAAGTATGATAACTTGCAAGGCCAAATGCGAGCAGACAAACTCTCAAAGCTAAAAAGTGGACTGTTAGCTCAGCAGAATACATTTGTACGCCAAGCTCAGCTGAACCAGTCATCCGTTCGGGCCAGCTTTCGGGTTGCTCAACTGATAGCAAGCAGCGGTAAACCTTTCACTGATGGAGAGTTTGTCAAGAAATGTTTGAATGGAAGAGGTGTGTCCCGAGAAGAAAGATGTCTTTAATGCTGTGAGTCTGTCGGCGAGTACAATCACCAGACGCATTGAAGAAATCGGGGGTAATGTATATGCCCAGCTGCAGCAGAAGACGAAAGAATTTGACTTTTTTTCATTAGCACTGGATGAGAGCACGGACGTGCAAGACACAGCGCAGCTGCTCATTTTTATTCGTGGAGTTAGCGCAAACTTTGAGATGTGCGAGGAGCTGGCAGCCCTCCAAAGTCTCAAAGGGACTACAACGGGGGAGGATATTTTCGGCAAAGTATGCCAAACCATGGAAGAGTTGGACCTAGACTGGTCAAAGCTTGCCAGCATCACGACTGACGGGGCTCCTAGTATGGTGGGCGTGTCTCGTGGTCTAATAGGACGCATGAACCGGGAGATGGAAGAACGGGGTCTCACCGCCCCGATACAAGTCCAATGCCTAATTCACCAGCAACTTTCTGGAAAACAATAAATGTTTACATTTAGGCACCCCTGCGATCGTCACACTTTATCTGTTACAAACTGACCCCGGCCCCCATCAGAGAAGGGAAAAGTTATGTGGCCCTCACAGGAAAAAGTTTGGGGACCCCTGCTGTAGACACTGCAGTTGCAGCAACAGTTGCAGTAGACATACTGGCACCTTCATTAATATCAGGTTCACTTGCTTGTCTTTTTTCTTCCAATTGCACTGATGGATGAACAGTTCTCATGTGCCTGTGCAGGTTGTTTGTGGAGCCAGCTCGATATGAGATTTTAGTCTTGCAGACTCTACATTCTGCCTTAGTTTGGTCAATGTAATTGAAATGTGTCCAGATTTTGCTGCGTTTCCTGTTGACACTCATTTTCTCAACTTTTTTTTTTTTACCTTTCCAGTCCGTTGCTCTCTTTCTCTCTCGTGACTCGTCTCCCTCCCTCCTGTTCGTGTGCTTGCTGTGTGCTGTGCTGTGTGTGTAACTCCTGCCCCTCCCCTCTCTGCTCAGCGCAGGCACAGAGACGACGCCACACATATTGACCAATCAAATGCGGCTTGAGAGAGAGAGAGAGAGAGAGAGAGAGAGAGAGAGAGAGAGAGAGAG